GCAGATAATGTCCCCCTCAACCTCATGAATGCTATCAACGAAGGCTATGATACCCATGATGAGGGATAACGCCCACGACCTCCTCCAGACGAGAAAGGTCACCTCCATCTTTCTGCAGCACAACAAAACCAAACAGTAAAGGCGCCTCCACGACCACGAGAGAGGGGGCGCCACCCGCTATGAAAAAGCTCCTCGAAGCATGGCTAACTGATACTCTAGTTAGCTGCTCAGTAAACCAGCTCCATGCACGACTACAGAAACCACGAGAGTCCATGAAGCACAACGCGGGAACGAACCGGACGACCAACCAGACCCTATGACTTTAGGTAAAACTCACAATGTTACTGACAATGTATGTGGCAACATCCTTGCCATCGTGCTGAAAAGAATGGAGGAAATGGAAAATGAGAACAAGGCACTCAAAAATAAAATTAAAGAGCACCGGGAACGGGTAGATAAAATACGTGGCGCCCCCAAATTGCTACCAAAAAGGGACAGCGATAGGTTTGTAGAATAGCCATATAGCGAGGAAGCGGTTCCACATGCCATACCAAAGACCTTCAAGATGCCCCCATATCTCAAAATCTACGACGGGACTACCAACCCCGAAGATCTTGTGAATCACTACGTTACCGTGTGAAAGGCAACGACCTCACCAAAGAGTAGGTGTCCTCCATCTTGCTGAAAAAGATTGGTGAAACCCTCACTATAAGGGCATTGACATGGTATTCACAGCTGCCAGCCCGTTCCATAGAAACGTTCGAAGAGATGGCCGACAAGTTCGTGACGGCACATGTCGGGGCCAAGAAAGCTGAAACGAGAGTAAAAGACATCTTCTCCATTAAGCAATCCCCAGGAGAGGGACAGAGAGACTTCCTTGCCCGGTTCAACAGGGTGAGGATGACCTTACCAAATGTTTCCGAAGGGATGACCGTCGTAGCCTTTCAGAATGGGTTGAGCAAACAGGGTTCGAGGGCGACCAGAAAGCTACTGAGTCGATTAATAAAGTATCCACCGGCCACTTGGGATGAAATCCATAATGCATATTGTGCCGAGGTTAGAGAAGACGACGACAACCTCAATGGACCAACTCGATGACTCACCTCGGTACAATACGAGCCCAAGAAAGAACACATGGATTATACAAGGAGAGACCACCCAATATCGCGGCCCGGCAGGGAATGACACCATCCCTATGTCAGGACACTCGCTCCCTCCTTTCGCTATGAAGATGGCCCATCTAGGCTGAGATTAGGAACTCACAAGAACGATCGAGGTATACCCTTTTGTTATCCGCTCATAATTTTTGTGTTTCGCCCACAGAGGTGGTCTACGCTCTTGAGAAACTTGGAACAAAGGAAAAATGGCCACCAAAGATGAGGGCCGATCCAAGCAGCAAGAATCTAACGCCTTCTGCGAGCTCCACCAAGAACGTAAAGACGAAATAGAAGACGGCATCGCCCTAAGACTAGAGGTAGCGAACTTACTACAGCAAGGGCACCTCAAAGAACTACTCAGCGACAAAGGCAAGAACACCTTAGTTGGGGGTCGAGAATGTCCAGGCCCGCCAAAGCCCCCTTCACCAGCTCGTACCATCAATATGATTACTGGTAGAAGCGATGACGCCTCTATCAACGGCATCAAGTTCACCATCACCCACAAGCTCAAAAGATCAATCACCTCTGAACGGTATGACGGACTCGAAGAGGGTATCATCTTCGATGAGACAGATGTTGGCAGTTTGACTTTCCCTCACAATGATTGACTTATCATTACTTTATGAATTTTAGATACTGATGTTAAGAGAATTATGGTAGATGTCGGAAGTGGAGCATGCATCATCCGTCCCCGAGTCCTCATACAGATGAGACTCAAGGATAAGATAGTGCCACGTTGCATCACACTAATGGGTTTTAACAATACAGTTGAACAGACTTTGGGAGAAATTACACTTCCCGTTCTCGCCGGTAGAGTAACTCTAGAGACAACATTCTATATCATGGACTAGGAGACTGCATACAACGCTATCGTGGGACGACCATGGATACACCCCATGAGAGTCGTCCCCTCAAGCTTATACCAAGCGATCAAATTCCCAACACCTTGGGGAATATTCAGCATACAAGGGGAACAACACACGTCCCGGGAGTGCTACCGAATTGCCATGGACAACACGACAACTCAACAAAAGAAAGATAAGGAAAGAAGCATGACAATCAGCAGGGCCGAGGTCGACACAAGGTGAAGCCAAGGAAGTCATTATAGGCCCCGAAATGGTCGAAGCCGCAGAATCAACCATAGAAGAACTCGACCCCTTCCAACTAGATCATATCGACCTTAGTAAAAAGGCCTACATCGGCTGAAACTCCGAGAACCAGGTAAATTTAGTCAATTCTTAATAACTAGCGCTGATTTATTTTCTTTTAGTCATGTAGATATGCCAGGCATCCACAAAGAGATCGCCACACACAGATTGAACGTCGACCCCTTATACCCCCGGTGAGGCAGGCCCGACGAAAGTTCAACCCCACCATCAATGAGGTCGTCCACGAGGAAGTAGAAAAGTTATTTGCATACTGCTCTATTAGGGAATCGAAGTACCCCAAATGGATTGACAATGTAGTGATGTTTAAAAATAAAAAAGGGAAATTGAGGATGTGTGTGGACTTCACAGACTTAAACAAAGCATGCCCAAAAGATTCATTCCCCTTTCCACATATCGACCAACTCATCGACGTAACAGCAGGGAACGAGCTGTTAAGCTTTCTAGACGCCTACTCAGGTTACAACCAAATACTCATAGAGGAAGAAGACCAAGAGAAAACTACGTTCATCACCCACAGGGGAACATATTGTTATACGGTGATGCCATTTGGATTGAAGAATGCAGGGGCTACCTATCAAAGGTTGGTCACAAAAATGTTCAAAGATCAACTCACCAAAACTATAAAGGTATATATCGATGACATATTGGTCAACTCCGTGAAGGAAGAAGATCATATCGACCACCCAAAGGAAGCTTTCGATATACTGAGAAACTATGGAATGAAACTAAACCCCGAGAAATGCGCGTTTGGCGTAGTCTCGGGGAAATTTTTGGGCTTCCTGTTATCACAACGAGGGATTGAGGTCAACCCAGATCAAATTAAGGCTATTGACGGGATACTAGAGTGATTGACTACTAAGAAGCAAGTACAACGATTGACCGGGCAAATTGCCGCCCTATCCAGATTCATCTCGCGGGCGTTCGATAGATGTCACAGGTTTTTCAGCATACTCAAAAAGGATAACGTCCTCGTGTGGACGCCCGAGTACAAGTATTGCGAGAACTGAAGGCGTACTCGTCATCACCACCCTTGCTCTCAAAACCCAAGCACGAGGAGCGCCTCCTCGCTTACCTCGCCGTCTCGAAAGTGGTGATAAGTGCGGTCTTGGTTTGAGAAGACAAAGGTACGTAGTCTCCAATATACTATATCAGTAAAAAACTTGTCAACACTGATACGGGGTACCCTCACCTCCAGAAACTAGCCTTGGCCCTGGTCATAGATTCACGAAAGCTTAGATCCTATTTTCAGTGCCACCCTATCACGATCGTCACCAATTTTCCTTTAACGAGCATTTTACACAAACCCGAGCTGTTGGGGAGGCTGGCCAAATGGGCCATCGAGTTAAGTGAGCATGACATCACTTATCAGCCTCACACAACAATAATGTTGCAAGTGCTCGTCGACTTTGTCACAGACTCTTGCGCAAAAGTAATGCCTGAGGCCGAGAAGGAAGCCGCTCGAGCTTCCCTTTAAACATAGGACCTCTGGGTCCTGTACACAAATGGAGCATCCAATGCTTCCGGGTCCGGACTGGGACTCGTGCTCGAGGTTCCCACTAGCGAAATAATTTGTCAATCCATAAGGTGCCCCAATATAACTAACAACGAGGCCGAGTTTGAGGCCATAATTGTATAGTTAAGACTGGCACTCAAATATGGGGAGAAGCGGTTAAAACTCTATTGTGATTCTCGGCTCGTAGTCAACAAAGTTACAGGGACTTTCCAAATTTAAGAGCAAAGGTTACAGAAATATCAAACTGAGATCAGCAAATTGCTTCCCCGTTTCGACGAATGCCAGCTTGACCTGATCCCACGAACTCAGATCATCGAAACAGACGGCCACACCAAATTGGCCGCAGCCACCAAAAGCATAACGGCCGGAGACAAGAGCGTAGTTCATCTCCTCAACTCGACATTAGACCAAATCGAGGTGAAATTTGTAAATTTAACTTGGTACTAGCGCAATTGTATTATTACTTATTTGCAGGACGCCATCCTCCCAAGCGACAAAAAGGAAGCTTAAAAGCTAAGGATGCAAGCTGCTAGATAAAGCCTCCTCCACAACGACTTATACAAAAGAACGTACGGCGGTCCCTTGGCAAAAGGCTTAGGCCCAAACCAAGCCCAGCGCGTTCTCAAGGAAGTCCACGAAAGCCATTGCGGCGCTCATTCCAGTGATCAAGCACTTGTTATGTGCCTCATACGAGCCGGGTATTATTGGCCCACCATGAAGAAAGACACCTCAGAATTCGTGAAGAAATACAAGCAGTATTAGAAGTACGCCCCAATAATCCACCAAGCAGGCGAACACCTCCACTCGGTCATCTCTCCATGGCCACTTATTAAATGGGGAATGGACATCGTGGTTCCACTTCTACCGGGATGAGGTAATGTAAGATTTCTTTTAGTTTTAACTAACTATTTCTCTAAGTGGGTGGAAGCAGGGGCATTCTCTCAAGTTCGCGAGCAAGAGGTAATCAACTTCATATGGAAAAACATCATCTGCCGATTCCGCTACCTAAAGAAAAAAGTTGTGACAACGGGCCCCAATTCACGGGAAGAAGAACCACCTGAATTCTTAAAGAAATGGCATATTAAAAGAATACTTTCAACTCCTTACCACCCAGTTGGCAACGAACAAGCAGAATCCTTGAATAAATCAATAATAAACATCATGAAGAAGAAACTCGGAGAGGCAAAAGGACTGTGGCTGGAAATACTCCTAGAATTATTATCGGCGCACAGAAATACCCCGAAGACGAGCATAGGAGAGACATCTTATTCTCTAGTCTATGGAACAGAAGCAGTTATACCAGTCAAAGTCGGAGAAGCCAGTCTGAGGTACTCCTACGAAAGCGGCACCAACAATGATGAGAGTAGGTGACAAGATCTCGACGAGGTGGAAGAATGGCGAGACATGGTATACGTAAGGATGGTCGTTCAAAAACAGCAAGCAGAACGGTACTACAACAAAAAACCAAAGGTTCGATTGCTCAATACCGGAGACTTCTTACTAAAAGCCAAAACCCAAGCAAACAGGGATCCACAAGAAGGCAAGTTGGGAACCAACTAGGAAGGACCATACAAAATTATAGGCAAAGCAGACAAGGGCTCGTTCCAATTGAAACTATGGAAGGGAAACTCCTACCAAACAATTAGAACATCAGCTATGTCAAGTACTTCAACTTCTAAACATAGAAATGCCCCGTAAGTCGTACTCGTTTTTTCTCACTTGAGTTTTATCCCAGTAGGGTTTTTCCATTTTAGCGAGGCGGCGAGCGGGAAACTTCAGGTTAGACGAGAGGACTTATTTTTTCATTGCCCGACTTCTCAAGAATCTCCAAGCCGAATAATGAAGGGACTAGATATACTAGGACTGGGACTGGGATGCCATCCAACACCTAAAACTTGTAATTTTCTCCAAAAATTGCCTAAGGGAGAAAACGATGTAATTGAAACAACAATGTTGAAATAATAAAGATGCACATCTATCAAAACTACTCTCCAAAATGGTATGTTCGACCAGCTCAAACAACACCTATCGGCCCATGGCCTCGACTTAACTTAAAGGTACGTTCGACCAGCTCGAACAACACCTATCGGCCCCTGGCCTCAACTTAACTTAAAGGTACGTTCGACCATCTTGAGCAACACCTATTGACCCTTGGCCATGACAAACTTAAAGGTATGTTCGGCTAGCTCGAACAATACTTATCAGACCTCGACCACGACAAAGATAAAGGTACGTTCGACTAACTCGAATAATACTGATAGCTTCATGGACAAGGATAAAGCTTTAGAAGCACCAAGAAAGCCATTCACAAGGTCTCAAGCTAAGGAGAAGCAAGACAACGTTGTTGGGCTTCAATGGGAGATCAAGAAAGCGCTAATGGTGGAAGAAGAGCTCAAGAATTATGGAGAGGATTTAGCTAAGTGCTACACTCATTTCATGGTCCAAGTCCAAGTCCAAGAGGAGGTAGATTGGGGTCCAAGCACCAGCCAAGGAGGGCCTAAATTAGGCGCCTAAATCAACTCACAAAGGAGCCAACTTGGCGCCCAAGTCAGCTCAAGGAGGAGCGACCAAGACATAGGAGAAGGAGTCAAAGTTCCTTATTTTGTTTCCTAGTTTGTTAGGACATATTTGATGCTTTCTTAGGTAGTTAAGGTTTTGTTTTTCTTTTCCTAAGATTATTGGAGTTACTTTCCAAGATTGACTTGGTTTTTGTTTCCTAGAGTTTTACCTTTTCCTATGGTAGTTGGACTTGTTGTCCAAAGTAGTTTAGGACTTTATTTCCTTGTTTTTTTAGGTAGAATTTCGTGACCCCTTCCCTATATAAAGGGGTATCTTCTTTGATTTTAGACTTAGACTATTATCAATAAAAATTGTGAGATTTTTCTTGCACTTTTGTGTGTGGCTACTCTTGGATTTATTCTTCAACCTTCAAAACTCAACTTAATGTGGTAAGATTAAACTCTTTCGAAATCTTAGATCACTTCTAGGTATTCAAGAAAGGTGATAAGTTTAGGCTTATTGTTGTTCTTGTTATTCTAAGGGGTCAGATTTCACAATCTATCTCTTGTTTTTAATTCTCTACCAAAGGCGATTAGTTCTTTGTTAGCTAGTTGTTGTTGTTAGGATTCTTCAAGAATAGACTTCTTGAATTCAAGAAACCCTTTCTTGAATTCAATCTATCTTTAATATTCCGTCCTTTTTACTTTCTTTATTTTTTTTAGCTTCCGCACGTTTCTTGATTTTTTTGTTTTTCTTAGTAATTCTTGAATCCCCTATCGTGTTGTTATCAAATACCTATCAGCCCTCGGCCACGACTCACTTAAAGATATTTTCAACCATCTCGAACAATACCTATCGGCTCTCGGCTACGATTTAACTTAAAAGTATGTTTAGCTGACTCGAACAAAGGTCGTTATAGCCCACGGCCGCTCAACACCACGGCTATCGCAACTTAGAGAATAACAACAAACAAAGTACAGAAGCAAAAAAACAAGTACAGAAACAAAGATAAAAAAGATGCGTATGAAACAAAACAAACTTTGATGATTAAATACAAACTCCCGCATTGCACCGATTGCAGGTTGAAATCTTGATGAATTCTTGAGTCTTCTTGCCTTGGTTGGTTCTCCAATCTTTCGTAGGTCAAAAACTCCCCTAAAATCGTGTTTTTGGTATATTTATACCATGTAGAAATAAGTTCGGACGAAACTATCCTTTCCTAGCCGAACTAGGAAATCACTCTGACAATTTTGCACACCCGCACCGCGCCTTGCGGCGCCCCATGCGGCGCGACTGCGAGGTTTTGTCAGAGTAATAGTTTTGTTCACTTTTTGACATCCGCACTTGTTCTTGGGCTTTTACTTAGACTTCAAAGCTCCAACTTGTTCAACTTAGCTCCAATTACCTAAATAGCTTGGAATCATTTCCTACAAGGCATAAAACACGTAATACATGTAATTTACTATCATTTAAGCTCAGACACACGTAAAATGCAGTAATCAGAGTGCAATAATACGGCTATAATACGGGATTCTAGCCTACCATCAAGCAACCTCCCCCAGAGAGTGTCCATTTGAAATTGACACCCGTCCAATTGGACTTGCAGTTGGTCCACCAGATTCTGGAGGTCGCTGCATTGGGCTTCCACGCTCTTACTCAGCTCAAGCTCCTCCTCTTTTCTCTTAACATCTCTCTTGAGAACACTGAGCCTCTCCACGGCCACCATCAACTCCTCTTCTTTCTTCTTCACCCCCCTCGCGAAGTCACCTTCGAGCTTCCTGGTACTTCCCATGGTACTTCTCGTAATTACTCTTCAACTTCACATAAATGACTTTCCGCCTCTTCTTTCTCCGAGCACTCTCAATTTCCAAAATAACAGTCTGCAAATCACAGAATGGCAAAAGTTAAAACTTGGAAACGAGTTAAGATGAAGGAAGAAGAATGAAAAACAACCACACTTACCCTGAGAGCGAGGCCAACAATGTTCTTCGACAAAGTACTGGCGGTCAAATCCTTGAGAACCACGGGCTCGACCTCGGAGCAAAGAGGACCGAGAGCAGGAACCACCTCCTTGGTATTTACCAACAAATCACGATCCATTGGAATCTTGATGGTCCTCGAGCCCCCTTCTATCCTCACTTCGATCTGAGCAAGTCCTTTATCAATCATCCTGAGATCGTCAGGGTCCATGTCGGAACCCGACTCATCGCCCTCGTTAATAACGTCTTTTCCTTTATCCTTGGTAACCAGAGAAGCACCCACTGCCGGCTTGGAAAATGAGACCTCTTCTTGCCCTGCAGGCACAGAGCTGTCACTACCCGTCCTCGTCATATCCTTCTTTTCCTCAGGACGCAAAAGGCACGCCCTCATTAGCTTCTCCTAATTGGGGGGGGGGGGGCTCAAAGGTCACCACAACATCATCTCCAATGTGCATCGTCGCCGTCTCTCGAAGTGTGAATTCGTCATCTACTGAATCGACAACCAAAGGAACTCCCCCTCCTACGTCCACAAGCTCTCTTTTATAGGGCCATAAGTCTCCATCATAGGGAGAGACTTCTTCATCTTCGTCCATGAGTGAAAATGAGGGAGGAGCGGGCGCAACAAGCGAGATGGGGGTGGAGGCAGAAGACGCAACGACTGAGACGATGTCAGAGATGGAAGGCATTGCGGCCCATCTCCTCCTAAACGCGGGCATGGGAGCCCTATTCCTTCTTGTAGCCCCCCTGACTTAACCTAAAAAAGAAGAAGCGTAAAAGTTTACAACGGCACAAATAAATACAAACATGACGACGACCAAAAGAAGGATATTACCTGTCGAGGGGAGCGCCGGTTTGAACTTCTGAAAGAAGCTCGGCCAGTCACGAATCCCCACTGTATAGGGGAGAATCTGCTTAATTCAATCGAAGAAATGTGTCGCCAAAGGAAGAGGACGACTGGTGGCTGCACAAGAAGAAGGATTACTCGACCAACTTGAAATGAACAAAGTACTTGAAAGGGTAAAAGCTTAAAACGAGAACACTTACATGTATGGTTCCAGGCCTCAGGGAAGCCGTCAACATTAGTTGCAACGACCTCAGTTTTGAAAAAGAAGTAGTCGAGCCAGAACTGTCAACTACCTTTATCATCCATCTTTACGACCAAACATTTGGCCCCACAATGTCAAAGTTTCAACATCGTCTCTCTATAGAAGTTGGGCGCGAACAGATGCACCAAGTGCCGCACCGTGACCTCAACCCCGACGAGTTCAGAGAACTTTGATAGCATCTTGATGACCTTGTAAACATAGGGGGCGGGTTGAGCAGGGCAAATGCCGTAATGGAGGCAAAACTCCTCCACCAGCGAGAAGAGGGGGAATGAGTAGCCAATGGTGAATGGGTAGGCATAGAGAGCAAAATACCCAAGACGGTGAACGTGTACCTCGTCCTCACCAGCGAGGATTAATTCTACGTGGCTGGGAAGGCCAAACTTGGCTTTGAATTCAACCAAGCACCTAGACGTCATCTACGATTGAAATTTTCCAGTTATCACATCCGATGACCGTTGAAAATTGGATCTAGCATAAGGGTTATGGGGGATGATCTCCTCTACTGAAGGAAGAGTTTTGAACAAGGAATACAATGACCAAGAGAATGGCATGGTTCTCCTCATCAACGTTAGAAGGAAGGTTAGACATAGCTATGAAATTTATAAGAAGCCTGGATATAGAAGATGAGAGTATGAGAACAAGTTGAAGATCTGGAGGCAAAGAAGGTTCAAGAATAACAAAAGAGTTTGTGTAGAACAAAGTTGATTCCAAATAGTAAAATTTGGATAATAGGGGAACGATCCCTATTTATAGAAATGAAGGCACGAGCCTGAAACGGCTCATTATGAGATACACAAGAATCGAAACAACAGAGCCAATCAAAAGCCATGTGTAAATCGATACGACGCTTCGGGAACAAGCATCGTCATGACAAGTGACATCATGACGTCACTCCTTTTCATGGACGAAACGGTTCCAGCAAGTCACTTGGGAAAACCAAGAGTTTGAAATATACGTTCCACAACAAGCCACATCGCATGTTTGTCACAACAACCACGGCCGCTATTATCCGCTTATTGAACTCGCCCATGAAGACGACCTCAACAAGCGAATGGACTAACTGTATGGGCTAAAAACTGTCATAACTATATATGAGCCTAATCAATATTAAGAAGTCCTTCGAAGGTCGCCATGTGTCACCAAGTTGATTTCAACGAAGGATGAAAGCGAGGTCGAGGACTCAACGGAGGTCGAGGACGAGGACGAGGACGAGTACTCCCTTTAGCATAGCAGCAACAATTAGTTTTAGAAATAAGACTTTAAAGAGAATATTCTAGTAAATATTCCTACGATCTATGCTGTTAGGGTTTTTATGGCCCATGTGCCCTTATAAATAGAAAGATATGTAGTTATAGGAGAGGATTGGACACTCATTGTAAAAAATAACACATTGACATCCTCTGAAGATTCTTGCTTTATCATACATATACAAAATACACCTATTCAGATCTTTAATCTATATTTTCTCCCACGATCCAAGGAGAATCCAAATATTCAAAGGCTTATCAATCATTTATCATTGTCAGAAAGAATCTCACCCTTTTCGGGTACTCATATGCTTTTATTCACATAAACGTCATTCATTACTTTGTACTGTTATTTAATGCTACCTCCTTTTTTTGGATCATTGAATATAGCATTATTGTTGCCATTTATTACTACTAAAATAGTATAATGTGGTATCTTGCTACAAAATCAGTTAATCTATCTTTGGATATTAATATTGGCTAAGATTAACTCTATTTTATTAGAAAATCTAATTGTTTAAACCTAGATCTAAGTTTTGGATCAAACAAATATATGCGTGGACAATATAATATGGGGTTACAATATTGATTAAACCCAAAATTGATAATTCTAGTACTACTAGAAATTCGGCCAAAATCGACCAGGGCCGACCGACCGATCAAAAAACCGATTGAAGGTTGTC